GTGAGAAAAGAGAGGCAGAGGCATGGAATTTCAGAATCTCAGGAGTTGGAAGGCCAGTTAGGATGAGCTATATCTTAACAAAAAAATCCTTTCTATAATGTACTTAACACGGTTTTAGTTGGGTTTCACCTTGCTATTAGCCATTTCCATTCTGTCCTTTCCAGTCCAAATTTACTTAATGGAATTTCAAGAAAGTAAGAGTTGAATAGCTCCATCTCCTATTTGTGGTCCATTCTCATTGTCCCTAGGCTTTTTTCTTTTTTGAGGAAATCTGGGTTAAGTAACTTGCCCAGGGTCACACAGCTTATAAATGTCTGAGGCAGGGCTTGAACTCACATCCTCCTAACTCCAGGGCCAGTGCTCTGTCCACTGCGCCATCAAGTAGCCCCATCTCTAGCCTTTCAAAGCCCATCATAACCTGACCCCTTTATACCTTTTCATTTTTGTTACCATTCATTTCCCTACACGTACTCTACAATCTGGAGGCACTGACCTTTTTTGCTCTTTCTTGAATAAAACACTCCGTCTCTCAACTCAGGGCATCTTTACTGGTTCTCCTCCATCCCTGGAAGGTTCTCCCCCCTCCTCTATGCATCCTGGCTTCTCTTGCTTTCTTCAAGCTAAAATCCTACCTTCTTCAAAAACCCTCTCCTTGTCCCCCTCAAAGCTAACATGTTTCCTCAGAGATTATTCCAAGTTTACCCTGTATAGATCTTTTCTATGCATAGTTGTTTACATGTTTTCTCTCCCATTCAGATTTGAGCTTCTTAAGATTAGGAATCTGTTTTTGCCTGTCTTTGTATCCTCACCTTAGCACAGTACTTGACACATAGTAAACACTTAATAATTCTTGTTGATAACGTGTTGATTTGACTAAAGGAATCAAATGAGTGCTGTGGATCATGGTGGTGAAGAAGGCAGGTTAAATAATGAAGATGTTGAGAAAGGTATTAAGCTTAAATTCATGTGGTAAGTATTAAATTCTCATGTTTCAGAGAAGGAGCTATAGTACATCTTTGGGTCTCTCAGAATACTGTGAATGAGGATGCTGCTGTGTTCTTAATTGTAAAACTACCTATCATTCCTTTGTTGAGAATTCAGCCAGTTTTTTTTCACCCTGGTTGTAAAATAAAACTTACACATAGAAATACACTGTTGACTCCTCTCTGTGACTCTATATCGCACATAATTCTACAGGTTATTTTGGACTTAATGAGGAAAGGATGTTTTCCAGTATCCTTTTTACCCTCATCACCCAGGAAACCACCCCAAGCTCCAAAGCCTTCTTCTTACCCCTAAGTCAACTTATAGAAAGCATAAGAGTAAGATGAATACTGGTTAACCAGTGTAGGACCGTCAAAAAGAATAATAACCTTTATATAGCACTTACTATGTGCGAGGCACTGTGCTAAACACTTTACAAATATTATCTTATTTGATCCTCATAATTACCCTGTTTTGTAGGTGCTCTTATTATCCCCATTTTACAGATGAGGAAATTGAGGCAGAAAGAGGTTAAGTGTCTCACCCAGGGTCATACAACTAGTGAGTGTTGGGATGGATTTGAAGTCAGGTCTTCCTAATGCTAGAAACTATATCCACTCTACCACCTACCTGCCCATTAGATGAAAGATGTTGCAATGAAAAGTAGAATTCCTTTGCAGGGAACAAAAAGAGATGTTTTTAAATATTTGAAAGCAAGTCTTGTTTTTTGGTTATACTTCAAAGTATATCGGTGATTTCCTTGACATGTTCACTATACCTTACCCCTTTATCTATGTCCTTCTGTAAATCTTCCACAGAGGATCCACTCAGTGCAGTAGAGGTCTTCCTCTTGTTCTTTGAATATTTTGTAGGTTTTAGTTAAGAATTTGTGTCATATTTGTTTGAGGGGGAAATGATGAGGGTGGGATCTGAATCCCTAAAAGGAAAAGATCATGTTTTTGGGGTCTGGACCCCAAAAAGGAAAAACCCTAGACTTTCCCATCTTGCCAAATCTGTTCACCTGATTCTATAATCCTGTCACCTGGACTTTCATTGTGGCTAGGCCCAATCTCCCAATTCTGTTCTGTTAGCTCCCAGTTGCCCCTGGCCACTTCCCACCCTTAATCCTATCTAGGCTCCATTCTCCCTTGGCCCATTGGCTCAGGTCCCTAGCTTTCTGTTACCTCACAGTCATCCCAGCTTACTGGCCACTCCTCTCTAGATCCTCCTTAGACTCCTCCTCCAGTCACCCCAGACTACATGGCCACTCCTAGATCCTTCCCACAGTCTTTCTGTATATAAGGTCCATCTTGCCTCTATTAAGGTGCTCAGATTCTTAAGATTTAGCCTGCTTGGGTTAGCAATATGAATGCTTAGATATCTTAAGAGTCTGCCCAATATGATGGATGTTCTAATAAGCTTTGTCTTTGGTTGAAAAAAAATATTTCTTTTGATGAAGAAATAATATAGCACAAGCATAAAATCTTTTACCTAATTAAATTGTCTTTTTGGTGGAAGGTGAAGTCAGATACAGAATAACTTCGTCAGACCTATTAGTGACACAGAGTGTTTTCTTTTTCTTTTTAAATATATAGATATATCATTTCTTACACAAAGCCCTACTCTGATATCTCTTTGTGCTTTTTAAAAATAATGGCAACTGAGAGAAATTATTTCTATTATATTAATAACAGATTATTAAATTAGGATCTAGGCTTTTGTCCTTTTGGCCCAGCCCCGTAAAAAAAAAAAAAGCAGTCTCTGAAGGATGAAGCTGATTGATAGTTTAATCCTAACCCTCCAGGAACATGCTCTTGATCTTGGGTGGGACCCCACCCAACTAGGAGACCTTACTTCTTTTGAGAGTATAAATGGTATCTAATTTGGACAAGTTCTTGAGCCAAGAGCTCAGCTCCTGTCCTTTGTACCCTTCCATTACAGTCTAGGGTGACCCTGCTCATGAAGGAGAAAACCAATCATAGTAGTCTGGATAGAAATGTATTCCCCTGAGGTGAAGACCACTAGCCCACCTCCTCATTAAATATCCTTCAATCAGAGTTGATTTTCACTTGTCAGGGACACTCTCTTTCAAAAAATGTTTAAGGCTTTGAGGCTCTCCATGTTTTTGTCTTTGTTTATCTGGGAGAACCCACTGACCATCAATTTATTGATTATTAGCTAGCCTAATTAATAATTGATTATTAGTTACCAAGAAACTTCATCTCTTGGGGTTTTTCATTTGTCACACAACCGAGGGTAAGTTCTGACAGATCCTTCTAGAACCCACTGACCATCAATTTATTGATTATTAGCTAGCCTAATTAATAATTGATTATTAGTTACCAAGAAACTTCATCTCTTGGGGTTTTTCATTTGTCACACAACCGAGGGTAAGTTCTGACAGATCCTTCTAGAACCCACTGACCATCAATTTATTGATTATTAGCTAGCCTAATTAATAATTGATTATTAGTTACCAAGAAACTTCATCTCTTGGGGTTTTTCATTTGTCACACAACCGAGGGTAAGTTCTGACAGATCCTTCTAGAACCCACTGACCATCAATTTATTGATTATTAGCTAGCTTAATTAATAATTGATTATTAGTTACCAAGAAACTTCATCTCAACACAACCGAGGGTAAATTCTGACAGATCCTTCTACCAACCTGCGGAGGAGTCAAATATGGGCCTCAGTACGAGCTCTGTGGCTGTTGTCCAAAAGCCACCAGCCTATGTTCAGAGTGACTCATCATCAACTTGGCATTTTTCTAGTAACCCATTGATATACTATAAGCAGTAGAAGGCTTATTAACCCCATTTTACCAGTGAAGAAACTGAGAGGCTTCGAGAGAGACAATTATTTCCCCAGCCTCATCCCAGTTAATCATCTTTGGCTGTAAGTTCAGGTCTTCTAAGCCTAAAGCCTGCGTTCTTTGTCCTGTGCCTCAAACAAGCATGCCCACAGTCCTGGCTAAAAGATGGAGATAAGACAGATTGTACCTCTTGGTAGCATTACTTAAGCTCTTTGTGCTGAGGCTACAAGTATGAGTTCACACTACTTTAATGTAGACCACACATGCAAGTCAGTGGCTCTGTGAAGTCATTCATGTAAGTGTGCCTTCCAGTGGTACAGATCCAAACTTATCCATGCTTCTCATCCTCCTGTGTGCTCGTCCACATCTTTCAGTGAATTTTCTATCAGGGGGCCAATCACATGCTATGGCCTTCATTTAGATCTCATGCCATTCTATAGGTGCAATGGAGCCCAGAGGTTTTCTGTTTTCTCTTCCTCTCATTTTGGTACTGGCCCACTTTTCCACACATACCTCCATCTCTCTCTTTTAAAAGTATTTTCAATATTTTGTAAAATAAGGGACAAAATCAGAGAACTGAAAGCCCTAAATAAATGCTATATGTAATAATAATGATGATGATGATGATGATAATGATAGTTAGGAATATTTAACTAGTGCTTTAAATGTTCTATACACATAGTGATTTTTGGTCTTCAGAATAAACGTGCATAAGTTACAGTTATTATTATCCTCATTTTTCAGATAAGGAAACTGAGAGGAAGTTAAGAGAAGTTAAGAGATTTAATCAGAGTCATTGGGGGTAGCAAGTATCTGGAACATTATTCTAACCCTTGGTCTCTTCAGTCTTCCATCCGTGATGCCACCTAGCTGACTCTAGATATGGATCAAATGTGGATTCATGATAGGGTTGAAGCCAGTAACTAAGAACTCATGGATCACCAAGTATTTGTCCCATTTCCTACTTCAGAAACTGAGTTCTGGGTGGAATTGATAGTAATACCATTGCAATATTAATTCCATCCAATTGCTGCTTCAATAGAAAGGACGAAAAATTGAGTATTAAGTCAATGTTGAGTGTTTTCTATCTCTCACTAATTCGTTTTTCCTAGTTTTTTGTCTGTTTATTTGTTTTGTTTTGTTCTAGGAGTTTGTTTCTTAATGAAAAGAATATTTTCTTTTACCTCCCCTTCTGTAATAGAAACCAGGAGCTAAAGGATCTTGGTGAGCTCGCACCACACTGGGACAATCTACGCAAAAACGTTCTTGCTCACTGTGAACAAATGGTGAACACGTACCAGGACATTCTGACAGAACTTGGGAAGCAAACAGGTTTGCAACTAGTCTCACTGTTTAGTCAGTGGAATGACAGCTCACATGTGGTAGGAAGTCAGAAACAGTATGAATGACTACAGAAGAAAGAGAAGGGGAAGGCGAGGGAAAAAAAGTGTCTGTGCTTTCTGACTGCGATGGCTTATAGTCTTGTGTGGGAGCTTAATTGACAGCTAAGGGAGATCTGGAGTCTCCTCACAGGATTCTGGAGAGCAGTAGATTTTCATTATCCAACAGAAACAGGTGAACTCAGACTATTCTTCAACACTGTCCCTGGATCCTATGAAGTCCTATCACTAACTAGCTTTGTGACCATGGGGCAAGCCATTTCACTTCTATGCCCCCTAGATCCCTTCTCTCTAGAAGCAGGGATAGGTTAACTAGATTACTTCTAAAGTTCATTTTAGTTCTAACATCCTCTGATTCTAGAAATCAAGGTAAAAGTAATCAGCCATATATCATCTTAAGAGCACAGAACATTTTTAGCTCACTAGTAGAAAGACAACTTGCAGAATCTGAGTGGCATTATTAGCTGGCAAGTACTATTAGTATTAATTGCTTGTGCTAATTAATATTAACTAACTATTATTTTTATATAATTACCTTCTTAAAACAAAACGATATATTAATAGGATTAATTGTCATAGCTTCTGATACCAAGTCCTGATTATCTCCCATTAAGATTAATTATCAATGCTTCTCATCTTTTCCTCAGCTTTTAGGTGAGGTCTTACCCTTTTTCACTGCAAATTCTAAGTTACTATCTGGTGAGCATGAAATTCAATTTATTTCAACAGATATTGATTAAGTGGCAACTTTGCTGGGCCCTCGGGATTCAAAGGCAACACCCAACCAGCCCTTATCCTCAAGAAACTTACATTCTGTCCTGGGTACAGAGCTCCTATACTAATAAGTAAATACAGAGTGTGTTCAAAGTTATACAAAGCAGTTTCAGGAGGCAGAAAACATAAATAATTTTAGGGAATAGGAAAGCTTTACTGTATGAGAAGAAACTTAAGCTGAGGTCTGAAGGAAAGTAGGAATTGTTCTGAGAAGCTGATGTGAAGATGTCCCAGGCTTAGAATCAGGATACTTGAATTAGAATAATCCTAGTTTTAAAAATTAAAACTATGCGACCCTTGAAATCCTGAGCCTGTTTCCGAATCTGTGAAATGAAGTTATGATAACTAGGCTACCTCAGATATTCTTATACTACTTGGTCATAGGTTATTGTAAACAAAGGCCTTTGCAGAATGCTTCAAAAGCACTTTCAACAAATGTTAGTAATTTTTATTTTCCCCTTACATTTTCTTTTTGAAAAAATGATCAATGTATTACCAGATATAACTTTTAAACATGTGCATGCAGAAATTGGGTTTGGGGTATATGTGTATGTGTGTGTGTGTATGTGTGTGTGTGTGTGTGTGTGTGTGTGTATGTGTGTGTGTGTGTATGTGTGTGTGTGTACATATACACAGAATAGTGTGATGTAAAAAGCATGGGAATTCTAAGATAAGGGTCAAGGCCTACTTCAGTTATTTACTTTGTATATGTATATATGGGCAAACTATGATGGGCTTTTTTCATCAATTAAATATAAGGTTTAACTAGATGGATTCTAAAGTCATCTCTGGCTCTAACTACATTATGTTTTGATCTTACAAATCCTATGCTGCTTTGTAAACTAGTGTATATCTAAATAAATATGATTTTATAACATTTTTTTCATTTTGTTCTATTATTACTATGAATGTTTTCTCCCTCAAAACTTTTCTGCTGTTACCATTGACTAACCATAGGAAGGGAAAACTCTGCTGTTATCTAATTATACAATTATAAATTAGTTGTGCTTTCTCTCATTTTCTGTGCCTTTAGAACATGTAAACGTATGTTATCTGTTTCTGTAGATCTTTAAATATTTGTATAGGTTAAATTGGACATAAATCCTAGCACATGCTGGTCTTATTTTACACTAAGCATTATGCCTACTACCTAAAGCAAACCTCACAAAATTTATTTGTCTTGTGAGTCAAATATAATTCTGTGGCTGAAAGCAGAGGTGTGGTTATTAGGATTTCTAGGCTTTCATCATTGCACAGGCTTAAAAAAAATGAAGAACAGTGTTATATAGATGTGTTTGTCTCTCATTGGCTTAAGCAGATGTGGAACTGTACTTAATGGTACTTAAAATAGTTTCTTTTCCAGGGTCTTCCTTCAGATCAAGCTGCAGCAAAGGAGAGAAGATATTAGAATTCATTCCAATAAACCTGCATTTTCAAAGAATGCATGTTCACAGCCCCCAATTGAAAGGTAAAGTATGTTTCCCAGAGGAACGCGTGAGGGATATAGCGTTGTTAATGCATTTTGTGGTTCACTGAGATAGAATCATCTCCTTTGACATGATTAAGCTAAAGGAGTGAGAAGGCCTTGAAGCAGTACATGTGAGGATGTACTATTATTCTAGTGAGAGTGTAAGCTCTTGAAGCGATAGATTTAAAAACATGGCCAGCTGGAATAGGATGGAGAGTATCAGGCCAGGCAAATGAGACCCTGGGAGACTGTACAGAAGCTGCCAGGCCTTGTGCACTGAGCAGAGCATGGGCCCTGAACAGCTGGGCTCACAAGAATGCTGGATTCTCCCCCATTCCTTCATGTAGCACTAACAGTAGCAAATGGGAGAGTCGGGAAGTCATCAGGCTTCAGTTAGAGAAAGACTCCTATTGGGCTCATTCGGCGTCCCAGGACCCTGCCCCCTGCCCCCACGTGAGGCACCAAAGATCTAGTGACAACATCTGCCCTGTGATGCAGCAAGAAAGTCGACAAACCAGTGTCCATCCTCACCGCTGGGAGGATGTGCTGAGGTGGTCACAGTCCACTCATCTCGGTATACATAAGGCATTCTGCTGTCTTCTACTGTGTCATTCCTGAGAGGAGAAACATGCTGGCCCTTTGACTTAAGAGGATTAAGACTTGGCCTAGAAGGCATGCATTCTCAGACAATTCAATTAAATCTAAATCTTTTCAAGGACAACAAAAGATCAAGATTTGTTGCTTCTAAGCAAAAATAAACTACTTATAAAAATAGTGTAAAATAGGAATAGATTAAATTCTATGCATAAAGATGTTGATGCCAATTTAAAGCAAGAGTTCAATGATGTGAAATTTAATTTAACTTATTCAATTTAATGGAAAAAAAAGAACTTTTAGATATGCTTGAAATGTCCCTGACAAATTTGGGAAAACAAGGCACATTGCTGCGGTAGTCCAGACATTCCAGAATGCAATTTGAAACTCTGCCCCCCAAATCAGTAAATCCTAACTGATTCAAAATGTGTACCTACATATACTATGTGCCTACTATGTGTAAAGCACTTAGTCACAAAGACCAAAACAAAACACATCTCTGCTCTCAAGGAACCTGTAGTCTCCGAGGGGAAATATAAGTACAAGTAAATGATTAGAAGATTATTTGAGGAGCAAAAAAGCCCTACAGTTTGGATAGGAGACTAGAATCAAGAAAGGCTCCCTGTAAGTGGTCCTTGAGCTAACCCCTGAAGGAAGGTGGGGATACTAAGAGGTAGAGATGAAGAAAGAGTTCATCCCACTCACGAAGGTTATCACTTTTTCAAAGACATGGAGTTAGGAGTTTGTGGCATTCAGGGAACAGCTTATAGTCCTATTTGACTGGGATTTAGAAATATGTTAAGGGGAGTAATGGAATAAATCTGCAGAAGTAGGTGAAGGACAGAACATTCTAGACCCTCTTTCCCCCCATATATACATATACATATACACATACACACACACACATACATATATACACACATACATATATGTATGTAAAGATCAATGAAAGAGAGTATATGGATGCCTTTGTAGAATTTATTTAGAATCTGAATAAGATTAAAGTTGGGAGGGATCAAATTTCAAGCCAGAAGGGACATTAGATCGCAGTAAGTCAAATCCTCTCTTACTGATAGTGAAACTACTTCTCCAAAAGCCAAAACGACCAAGGTCAGGGGGGTAATAAGTAGCAGAGCTCTGATGTCCTCTGACTTCGACTCCAAATTCAACCTTCTTTCTGCTATATTGTTCTGTATATGTTTTTCAGTTAAGGAATGATAATACCAAAGACAGCTAGGTGGCTCAATGGATAAAGCACTGGACCTGGAGTTCAAATATGACCTCAGATACTTATTAACCGTATGACCCTGGGCAAGTCATTTACCTTGTTTGCCTCAGTTTCCTTATCTGTCAAATGAGCTGGAAAAGGGAATGGCAAACCACTCCAGTATTTTTGCTCAGAAAACCCTAAATGGGGTAATGAAGAATTGGACACTGCTGAAAAAAGACTAAAAAAATAAAGAGGCAAATGTCAGAGTATTTACTGGGTTGTGAGGTATAAGAAGATTGGAAAGTTATGGGAGAGGGGGAAAGGGACAGGATATGAAAGGCTTTGAAGGCCAAACAGAGGATTTTCTGTTTGACCCTGGAGCTGACAGAGAGCCACTAGAGTTTATTGAGTGCGTGTGGGGCCCGAGGGATGCAGGGGAGGACTCAGACTTGCACCTTATGGAGACCAATCAGCAGGGTATTGCAACAACTCAGGAGTGAAGTGACAAGTGCCTGCCCCACGCTAGTGGTATTATCAGAGGGGAGAGAGAGCTGCTCCTGACAGATATAAATTCACACACTGGTTCTTAGAACCTGAAGTAATAAAATTTATTTTAGGTTGAAAGAATTGTCCAAAAAAAGAAAAGGCCTGTTTCCTTTAGTTTGTGGTTTCCTAGGAATGGTTTTTCTCCTGTCCTGTTGTAGGCTATAGGTAGTCTCTGAACTAATCTCCCCTAATATCTGAACTTAGAATTAAATTTGGGGTCAGAAAGCATAAGTTCTCTTTTTGACTTCAGCACTTACTGTGTGACCTTGGACAAATCATTTAAGTCAAATCTGGACTTCAGATTTCTTCTCTGTAAAATTATACTGAATTAGCTCTTTTTATAGCAGGAAAGCTAAGGGAAAGGAAAGGGGACATTTCATTCTTCTTTATAAGCAGAGTGGAAAAATCACTTACGTATTTTGGGAAAATATTTTAGTCAGCTGTTAGAGATAACCCATGAAACTGTGAATCCTAATTTATTTTTTATCTTTCTGTTACATGCAATAGAAACTATGAACTGAAAGCTGAAAAATTGCAAGACAAATCTAAAATCTTACAAAAGAAATTATAAGTATCATCTCAAAAGAGCAATAAATTGGTTTACATTGTCAATTATGATTTATTGAACTCATGCAATAATGCTCCTCTAATTAGTTTGGAAACTGTAAGCAACATCTCTCATTTCCTCACCTGTAGAACAGATAAGGAAGATGTGAGGGTCTTTGATGATGGTAGGTAAAGCAGAGGAATTGAGCAGACTGAAAAACCTAAGGATACTGACAACAAAGCAAAAAAGATGAAGGGAGAATGTGTTTTTCTCTTTGAAGTCATAAAGGGGAAAAAAAGTGAAATTCTAGGAAGCTTAAACTGTTAAGGATTAGTGAGAAAGGTACTGAATTATACATTAGACTGTATTTACTCTAGAAGTTCCTCAATATGTAAGATCTACTTACATAGTGTTCAATGAAACATTTAATAATATGCTTAGCTTTTTGAAAATGCATTATCTTGATATATAGAAAAAAACATTTTAATCTGGTTATCTTGAATGATATAATTTAGCAACAGGGTGCTTTTTATGGGGGGAAATACAAGGAGTGTCAGTTTAAAAATAAACATGAATCCCAACGTGTTCAGTGCTAAATCTGTGAACCTAAAGTCATAAAGTAATTACATGTTGTAGTGAGTAGAAGGCTGGGGTTAGTGTAGAGTATGGTCATAGGGGAGGATCTGTATTTTACCAAGTAGTTTGATGAAATTTTCATTTTCTAACTTATTGTCTAGCCATATATAGATTACTCACAATTTGTCTAACTCAAAGCTATATTGAATTGTCATCTAATTTTCTATGTGACGTCTACTAATCCTAACATTTAGCAAAATTAAAGAATCTGTCATACAAGGTGACTCTGAAGGTCACATTAGTCTAGTCTTAGCATTTCATTGGTGAGTTATATGAAAGTAGTTTAAGATTTGCCTTTTAAACTATCGGTAAATCACTTTGTCTTTCTCCATGTGATGAATTGCACTCCTTCCTTGTGTTTGGAGGAACAGTCCTGCCAAAGACAGCACATATATTTACCAAAGCTCAACCTAGAGGTTAAAGTCCTGGTAGGTAAATCTAGGAGAACTCTCCTTTCACACAGCAGAACTAATGGTGTCATGGCTCATAGTGACAAATGAAATCACATCCAGTTAGCAGAGAAAACCCCTAGACAATTGAGTTAATTTTTCACTCTTTTTCATTAGTTAATGGAATGTAACAATTGTTCATAGGGTACCCGCTGTGTTGAAGTATTTGCATTAGAACATGCTCCCACCGTAGATCTTTGACAAATGGAAAACACACACACACACGCATATCCATTTCTCAAAATCCTTAGAGTTGCATTAGGTTTGATGTCAGCTGAGAATATTATATCATAGGGATATTTGTGGTGCCATAGCAGCATACTTTCTTGGTACTTATATGTGTTGTAAATGTATGATGACCTATCAAGGTCAATGTTATAAGAAGGAGGATTGCACAGGGGATAGGAGCACTGTACCAAGCATAGGAGGATGTTAGTTCAAGTTTTGAGCAGGCTGACTTTGGCTTCTTACTCATCCTCAGTTGAGTCCCTTCCTACAAAATGGGGATGGAAATACTTGCTATACCTTCTTGACAGTGTTGTTGTCAAGCTTAAATGAAATAAGATATCATAAAGTGCTCTATAAACCATCCAGTACCTAGACATATTAGATACTTAAATGTTTGTTGAGTGGACTTGAATTGCTTTGCAAATGCAAAATGGTATTATGAGATCTGTGATGTGATGAGAAGTAGTATAATGTAGTAGGGGAAAAACATGTAGGGAACCTTCCTTCGTTCCTTCTTTTCTTCTTTCCTTTCTTCTTTACTTCCTTTCTTCCTTCTCCCCTCCTCCTTGCTTCTCTCTTTCCATTCTTTCCTTCCTCCCTCTGATTGATACCACTGGAGTATATAGGCCATCCATCACATATCCCTCACTCTCTCCAGGAGACCAGCATGCATTGTTTTTCAGTAATACATTTATTTGATGACAGGGCCCTTATTTGTCATATGTTGTAGCCCTCCAATGCCCATCATATCCTTTTCTGTTGTCTTGTGAGTGATATTCATCGTTCACTC